TTCTGCCATTGCGGATGGCTGGGAACAGCGCTTCTTCAGACAGACGGTGGACTCTGTTTGGACATCACAGACTGCTCCATCTATTACTCCTCTACTCTCGCCATTGCCATTTTCCACGGCAACCACAGCACCCGCGTCCACACTGATAATTTGCTCCGGTGTAGGCGACAGCGTCGAGTATTTGAAACTAGCCTTGCCGTGCGGTCTATTGCGCCAGAGGAGAAATTCGGCATCGCTCCAGCTCAGTCTACAATCGTAGCCGCAGAATTCCTTCGTTTTGATCTTCTCGCGCTCAGCGACACGGAGGGCTTGCTCTTTGGCCATGCTGACAAATTTCTCGCGGTCTTTGAGCACCTCGAGCCGGTCTTGAAGTTGGCTTTTCTCCTTGTGTAGAGCGGTTAGGCGTTCTGTCTCGCCTGTTGTGAGGGCGAGACCAGCGTCGTTGCCGTTGAAGGTGGCGCGCGTCGGTGACGCGGTTTGTGGGGGTGAGAGCACACCTGTGCCCAAATTGCGGAAAGTTTGAATGTTGGGGGATGCATCGACGAGGGCTTTCAGATCTTTTGAGCGGAGGGTGCCGCCAAGGGGCGTTGGTTCTTCTTCTTCTGCTGTTGTACCATCGGCCGCTTTCTTCTTCTTTTTTGACTTGTCTCTTGTGCCATTTGCTTTCATGGCGCCGGCGTTGCGTTGTAATTGTTCCGTCATGAAGAGGGTCCCACACTCTTCAGAGCAGTATTTACTTTGGCGGTCTTTACCCAGTCGAGCTGGCCTTCGACAACCATCTCGTCTGCACATGGGCTTCCAAGTTGTGTGGCCCCGGCCATTCTCCTCGCACATTGGGCAGATGAACTTATCGACGAGACCTTCATCAGCCTGTTTCATATTTACGCAGTCGCCGTGGAACCAGTCGTCGCAGCCACCGTCACAGCCTATCATCCACTTATGGTTGTCAGGCTTCTTGCATATGCAGTAGAGGTTGTGGTCTTCGGAGGAGTCGCCGTCATCATCGGATGCCGCCACTTGAGAAGAGTTATCCGGTGCGGGAGAGGACTCGAGAGCGGGAGTACCGGCTTGTGAGCCTTTCTTCATGGTCTTGCTTGTAGCAGATTTGGGAGGTCGCGCGGAGGGTGTAACCGAGCGGGCGGCAGCGTCGTCGTCGGGGTCGATCTTTCGTTTTTTGGAAGGCTTGACAGCTTTTGCGGTTCCCTTCTTCTTGGGTGCTGAAGCTGATGATGGAGCAGGACGCTTTTTGGAAGGGGCAAGGGCAGTCTTGGAGTCGACTGGTGAAGCAACGCTCTCGCTGCCCATTCGCTTCTTGCGCAGCCCCAGGTCGGCCTGTTTCGCAACCTCGAGGGCCTTGAGTGTTTCTGCATCCAGCATTTCGCCGGGGATTGAATTTTGTCGCTCGGGTTGGGTAGCGGTGGTGGCGGGTGTGAGTTCTCGTGGAGTGCCCGTCGGTTCGTTCTTAATGACGGGCTGTGGGGAGGGTAGGCGCGTGCCATTGTCGTGTGAAAAAGGCAGTAGTGATCTCCATGCGCAACCCTGCACCACTTCGTCAGTTC